ACAGCAGCTACTGTGAGAAGAGGAGGAGGTCTGTATGACAGTCACAGTAAAAGTGTGCTAAACTTTAGAAGAAAAAAAAAGCTTAAAATAAATATTAGGTTAGCTAGTTAGTAAGTGAGTTGTTAAGCTGATTAGTTGGTTAATAGGCTAATGTTTTCACTGAGACAAATTTATTAGTTGTATTTTTCTGTTTTAATGATTGGGGAATTACAGCCAGCACAATACTGGAAATTGCTTAATGTGTAGAAATCCCAAATAAAGCACTGGATTACGCATGTATCAAAACCTATGCATATTTGAGGTATTTATCCTGAATACATAGTCAGGATAAATAGGAGAAAACAATTAATTGAAAATATCTGGACAAGAATTAAATATACAAAATATATTACACATTAAACAAATCATAATAAAAATGTTTCCAATTGTTGTCAATTTCTCTGTTTATTATAGAGAGAGAAAGATAGAGAGAGAGAGAGAGAGAGAGAGAGAGAGAGAGAGAGAGTTCCAAGGGCAGCCACGGAACTCTAGGTTTGACATTAATGCCAAGGTGCTCACCCACACAAAGAAATCCATATAAATCCAAAACTGGTTTAGAGGCACTTACAGGTCTTGCAGAGGAGGAAGATCAAAAACAGCAGTGTTTTTATTGTCAATGTTTCAATGAAGCTCAGTCCTCCTCCGTCCGTCTTGAGAAAGATGGACTAAGCTTCATCAAAAACAACATTAAAAACACCACTGTTTTTGCGATCTTCCTCCTCTGCAAGACCTCTGAGTGCCTCTAAACCAGTTTTGTATTTATATGTGTGTGTATGTATATATATATATATATATATATATATATATATATATATTACTTACCGGCCTTTTTAATAGGTACACCTGTTCAGTTGCTTGGTAACACAAATTCCTAATCAGCCAATCACAGGGCAGCAACTCAATGCATTTCGGCATCTAGACATGGGGAAGATAATTTGCTGCAGTTCAAACCGAGCATCAGAATAGGGAAGAAAGGGGATTTAAGTGACTTTGAATGAGACATTGTTGTTGGTACCAGACAGGCTTGTCTGAGTATTTCAAAAACTGCTGATCTACTGGGATTTTCACGCACAACCATTTCTAGGGTTTACAGAGACAGGTCAAAAAAATAAAAAATATCCAGTGAGGAACAGTTGTGGGGACGAAAATGCTTTGTTGATGTCAGAGGTCAGAAGAGAATGGGCAGACTGGTTTGAGATTATAGAAAGGCAACAGTAACTCAAGTAATCACTCGTTACAACCAAGGTATGCAGAATACCATCTCTGAATGCACAACATGTTGGGCTACAGCAGCAGAAGACCACAACGAGTGGCAGTCCTGTCAGCTAAAAACAGGAAATGGAGGTTACAATTCACACAGACTCAAAAATTGGACAATAGAAGATTGGAAAAACGTTGGTCTGATGAGTCTTAATTTCAGCTGCAACATTCAGATAGTAGGGTCAGAATTTGGTGTAAACAACATGAAAGCATGGATCCATCCTGCCTTGTATCCCCAGTTGGTGGTGGTGGTGTAATGGTGTGGGGGATATTTTCTTGGCACAATTTGGGCCCCTCAGTACCAATTGAGCATCGTTTAAATGCCACGGCCTACCTGAGTATTGTTTCTGACCATGTTCATCACTTTATGACTACAGTGTACCCATCTTCTGAGCTGTCACAAAGCTCAAATCATCTCAAACTGGTTTCTTGAACATGACAATGAGTTCACTGTACTCCAATGTCGTCCACAGTCACCAAATATCAATCCAATAGAGCACCTTTGGGATGTGGTGGATCGGGAGATTCGCATCATGGATGTGCAGGCGACAAATCTGTAGCAACTGCATAATGCTATCATGTCAACATGGACCAAAATCTCTGAGGAGTGTTTCCAACACCTTGTTGAATCTATGTCATGATGAAATAAGGCAGTTCTGAAGGCAAACCAATCCGGTACTAGCGTATGTAACCCGATGAGTGTGTGTGTATATATATATATATATATATATATGGTATTTTTAAAAAACAAGGACCAATATGTGCTATAAAAATGGTTTGAAAATAAGCTTCATATGCAAAGCAGTTAAAATTTTATTGTTGAGTAAACTGGTACGTACCAAAATTTGGTCATGAAGATTATGATGATCCTTGGGCATGTAAGAGCTAACAGACAAAAAGTGAATGTTTACGAATTTTTATTGAAATCCTTTTCAAATGGTTTGAATCTTTGGAATCACAAGCTGATCTGGTGTTATGGGACTGCCAGCCATGTTGGCACAAGATCCTAAAACTTTTAGAACTGGCTTGTTACTTCAGTGGTGCTTCTCACTGCTGATAGGTACTGGAGTCTTTCACAGATCATTGCTTGCTAGAAATGAGAGAATACGTAAACTGCTATCCACTGCTCACAGTGAACTGGTAAAAGAATCCTATAACATTTTATAAATACTTTATTTATTGAAAGACTCCCTCCTCTTTATTCAATTTATATTAAAAAAAAAAGATGTTTATATGGTCTGTCCTGCACTCTTCTTTATTGAAAATGCTATCAAGATTTTATATTTAATGTAATTTCTTCTTCATTCCATGCCTTCACCCACTAGATTTATGAATCTAACACAGAGGTCGCCAATTGATGATCCATGGACTACTGGTGGTCCTCAAAAAAATGTTGGATGCCCGCAGAAAAATCTGGACATTATTTGTATTTATTATGTTTTATTAATAATAAAACAAAAATAATATTGTAAGAAATTCTTATATTCTGAATGACAATTTTCACTTTTCTATTGCACTAAATTCACAAACTGCAGTAGAAAGGGGGAAACAAGAGAGGCGCAGCGTGACATCAGGGTAGTCATAAGTTGCATGAGGCAATCATTGCCGAGCCTTATGCTTCAGTATTGTCGGTACTGGTCTCGGCTTGAAATAAAAATTACTCTCCAACTTGCCGTAACGTCATTGGAGCCAATAATCCATAAATGTATTTCAAACAAGCAGGAAGAAATATCACACTAAAAATGTGTAATACTTAAATAAGCTTCAATTATTTTGTAATAATTAAACTAACTTTAATAATTTTGTTACAATTAAAAAACATTTAAATATTTTGTTATGATTAAATAAGCATTTATGATTTTGTTATAATTAAATAAGCATTTATAATTTTGTTATATTAAATAGGTGCATTTCATATTAATAAAATGGAAGTTCTCTCATCATTATTTTACAAATGTATTCATCTTTTTAAAAAATTCATATTAGTGGTCCGCGGGATTTAAAATTATGAATTTAGTGGTCCATGAGGTCCGAAAGATTAGCGACTGCTGATCTAACAGACATTCATTATGGTTCTGCAGTGTGCAATTCTGATGAAGCTGCCATGCTCTGTTGGTGCCTTAAGACTTGTCATTTTACTGCAGGGCAGATTGGCTGAAGTTTCTGGATATCTACTATCTGTGAATCAACCAGATCAGATTTTTTTTAATTTCATAGATACTTGTGAATCACCAAACATAACCAATTACTCAAGCTATGGCAGTAGTAGAATTCAGTAGTATATGTGTGAAACATAACAGCACTATTACATGTTTTGAGCTCTGTTCAACATGGTCATCATATGGGTTTCCAAATCAGATTGTAATGTGTATCTAAGCCCCAAAACAAAATGTAAAATATTGCAGCTTACAAGTCCTTAAATGTGGTGGCTGCATTCTTGGCAGGTTCAGCAGGAAACCACTGAAATTTGAACCTTGTATGGGCAAGCTGAATGTGCCCAAGTTTATTAATCTACACACTTTACATGTGAATATTGCTAGTGGCTAGCCGCTAACAATAATCACTGTGTTTTCCCGATTGGGATGGCTTCCACGGTCCACCACTGGTAGAACAGAATGGCTTTGCTGGACAGATTTCCAACAGTGTCTGTGCAGGACCGTGGTTGCAGGAAATAAATTTACTCCTTCTCTGGCCAGCCTAAGTTTCCTTTTTTTTTTCAGACTAAGAACATGTTTGGCAATATAGAAAATACTTGTTGATCCTACCAGATACACAGTGTCCTTTGAGATAAAAAAGACAATATGAACAATGTTATCTCTCTTTTGTAAATTACTAGTCCCTTCAATCCACCATGTAACTGAGATGAAAAAAGCAGACACTTTGAAGTGCAGTCTGTTTGACAACTATGGCTCTTTCCAAAGATATAATGGAAAATAGATATAGACAGGAGGGACAGGCAGTGTGTTGTTGGCAGTATTACCAGGTGAAAAAATACCTGAAAAAAAAGAAAGAAAACCAATGCGACCACCACATCTAAGAGCTAGTAAGCTGCAATATATATATTTTTTTTTTTTTGGAGGGGGGTGTTATATACCCTTTAAGAGTCATTCTGAACCAAACATCATTTGTGTTTTGCATTGGATGGGAACATCAGTGCAATCTGTTTAAATAAAAAAATCAGGATTATATGGACTGTATAACGTAGGACTGCAGGAGGCAATGAAGCACATGGTATTATGTTTAGTTGGATAAGAGACTGCTGTATTAACAGGATTTTTTTTTAGAGCCTACTGCAATCTGTTCTTTAGAAATATGTTCTCTGATGCTGTTGCTTTTGTACTTCTACTAGTAGCAATTAAATTAAACATGAAATGTAGAAATACAATAGCGATGGAAATCCTTCTGAACTGTTTAGATCTGTACCTTCTTGAAAGACAGAGAGGGTGAGGAAACATACCAGATACATCATATGTTTTCCTAATAAATAGTGAATTAATGTGCTATGCAGCTAACAGAACATTAGCAGAATTTTTATTGCACAGTTTCACTTTTACTATGACCAGGAGAGATGTATGAGCTGGTTTGCTAGTGACTAACAATTATCATTATTTTTCTGTTTTATGTCTGACTGCTTCTGTGCTCAGTGATTCCATAAAGTTGAGTGTTATTGCCTATTTTCTACAGTAACGTCTTTCTCTTTTAGAATGCTCCAAACAGATGTGCAGTCCCTGAAGACTCCTCTCTCCAAACCACACATCATCAGTGCCATGAAACCATCCGCGACCCACAGCTGACTTCATGCACTTGTCCTTTGTACGCTTGCAAATGGGAAGGTCATTTGGAGGTTGTTATTGCTCATTTAACACACGCACATACAATTAACATACTGCATGGAACAGAAATTGTCTTTCTGGCTACTGACATGCACCTTCCAGCTCCGGTAGACTGGATCATTGCACATTCATGTTTGGGCACCACTTTTTACTTGTACTCAGAAAGCAAGAAAAATATCAAGGACACCCACAGTTCTTTGCCACAATGATGTTGATCGGTACACCAGCACAGGCTGAGAATTTCAACTATAAACTGGAGCTAAACAGGAACCGTAGAAAACTGACATGGGAATCCAGCCCTCGGTCAGTCTTAGACTGTGTTGACTCTGTAATTACTGATGGGGATTGCCTTATGCTCAATGCCTCAATGGCTCAGCTCTTTGCTGATAATGGAAGTCTGGCTATCGGAATAGCAATATCTGCAAGTAAACTTTGTGCTGCTCAACCTGAAATGTAATATTTAAGACACTGATCTATAGATCATTCAAACTTTTGGGCTTTTTAACCTCCCTGGCCTTTCTAGAGCTTGTACATATGAGAAAACACATTCAGGCAGAAATGTACAATGGACATTTATTTTAAATGTGTTTAGGTCTAGTTTCTGTGACAACTTTTGACTTGACTCATTAAGAACTAATGGCATAAATAAAATGTCAGTAGGATACAATGTGCAGAGATCTGTATGTTTACATGTATAGGTATATGTTCATATAAATGTTTATCTTTATCTATTTCTACCAATAGGTAGTGTTAACATTACCATTACCAGGTTATAAAGATCCTAAAAAAATCCTAAAATATCAAAGAGCTAAAAAAAAAAACCGCTAGATATAAAATATACTTATGTTTAAAAATGCTGGGGTCATTTAAGAAATCTCAAAATAGAGCTGTTGCAGATAGCATGATTAAATATCTACTTTGTATTTTCCCTAAATATAGAAAAATAATGTATAGTAAATAAACATAAATGATTGCTATGCACAACAGTGATATAGAATGCAGTGAAGAGACTCTTTCACTATCTACAGTATGTGTATGTAAAGCCAAATTTTTTTTGTTGTTTTGGATAGACTGGGAATGGTTAAGACCCATTTTTTTGGCTCTGTCCTGTCAGGCAGGGAGATTTCCTTTCATTTCCTGTTCCAGAGACAAAACAAGAAGTAAGAGGAGATCTATCCAAATCAGGGAAGCATCCCATTTTAGACTGCTTCTGGATCAACTGAACAGATTTGGATTTAAGTCAATTTCTGTAATGGACATAATGCTCACCAGGGCCAATAAATGAGAATGAATCTCCTCAGTGGGCAGACATAGGTTTTGACCCTCGCACATTCTACCCAAATGTAAGAAAAATGTTTTGGATTTGCATATACTTTAATGGTGTGCATGCTGTGTTGAGGTATTTAACCATTGGAGGGACTGATTGCCTCCCTGAAACAGAACCTCAGCCCATTTACCTTTATTTGTTATTACCTGCAGTCAATGTGTGAATGGAATGATCATGCTCATTCAGGCAGTATTTTAGTTAAAAATAACCTAGAAAATTAAACCGATAAATTGATTTGATTATACATCCAGGTAAAATTAGAATGGTTTAGGGTAGACTGGAACAGTACATAAATCACTTTTAGTTTTTAAAAATTCATACTGCCATTGCTAAGCAGTGGAAAATCAGCAGCCTATATGCTTTCTATTAAATTAACAACGCAATAGCAAAAAGGTGCATATACTTGATAGCGCCACTTTCTGTCTGAGTACCAGAAAAATGCTATTCAAAATGGATGTACCTGGTGTGATTTTGTATTGCATATAATACATTGGGTCACTTATTAGCTATTAAAAAGAAAGATATGAAGCATATATAGTATTTTTAAAAATTAATTAGCTCTCAAAACATTTGCAGCATATTTGTTCATACTCAAATCTAGAATATAAAAGTGAAAAGGTTCAGATCAATGCCTAGCCTATCACGTTTATAGCTTCCCCAGTTAAGGCAACTTTGATGCTCATCGCTATCATTTTCCATCCCATTTAAATCAGCTGCTAAATCCCTGGCATTACTTCCAGACCCTCCAATTATGATCCACTCCATTAGGTAGAAAACACTCTGCTCAGCATTATCTTCTCTGTCTTTCTCATTAGGTTAACTCAACCATTTTCAGCTAGGGTTTTGTGAAAACCCTAGGTTTCCTCCAGAAGTTGCTAGAGGTTCCATGAACAATGAGTGTAGAGTATTGATTTTCTGCCTGATGGTACCTGCAAAGTTAAGGGTTAAGGGTCCAATGTTTCTTTTTGTGGGTATCCTTCCTATAACCACTTATTTAACAGAGCTCTTTCTTCTTCCACTGAACGCCAAAATATAGGGACACCTTTGTACTGGCCATCAAGATATGGGGGCTAATAAGGATCTACCTTAGGTGTCAAATGTACACCACATTCTTTGGCTTTTAGTTTAATATTATGTGTACAACTTACTAAATAGAGTGACTGCAAGCTGAAAATATTATTATTTTTTGCAGGGGTTCACTGAGACTTGAAAATAAATGTAAGGGTAAAAAATAATTTCAAAGGTACCTCCAGTGCAAAAAGGTTGAGAAAGGTTGGATTAACCTGAACTACTACCTCACCAATATCAACCTCCTGGACTCCTTACAGTCTGGCTTTTAGCTAGAATACTTCATAGAAACAGCCCTTTGAAAAGTCACTAACCACTTTGAAACTGCTAAAAACCAGTGACCACTACTCCATAATTATACACGTAAACCTGCTGCATTTCATAGAGATGATCACTCACTTTTTAGCACATATATATCCTTCTTTGCAGCCAGTCTTTTGTCTAAGGACAATAAGGCTTTTTTAGAAGGTGACCGGGGCACAGAAGAGAAAAGGCTTCAGGGAACTGGGTGCACAACAAAGTAGAAGCCTGCTAGATTGAGGACTAAGTTCAGTATTGCAGCTTATTTCTATAACCTTGGATTTAACAAGCATTCAACCCTTGCAGTGCGATGGAAGGGGCCACACTGCAAGGATACTTTTTTTTAAAAATCTGGAGTTCAGCTTTAAATGACTGAAACTTCACAACAGACACGCAAGTTTAAAAAATTACAGCAGCATACATTTTCCAGTTTGGTAAATGACTCTAAATGTCCCCGATGAAAATAGGAAAAAACAGCCACACTCCAATTAGCTCTTCTTGCTGTATTTTTAATAATCAGTACGTTGACTGCATACAGTAATGTCTCCAATCCAAAAACAGCCTTCCTTCACAAGTCTCACCACTCCTGGCTTGCTCACAAGGATAGGGGAACTTCCCCTAGTCTTGTGAGCAAGCCAGGAGTGGTGAAACACATCAAAGAAAGTTGATTTTGGGTTGCAGACATCACTGTATGCAATCAATGCACTCATTCTTAAAAATACTGCAAGAAGAGCTAATTGGAGTGCGGCTGAATTTTCATGTTTTCAAGGAAAACTGAGAGGTGGACTGTGATGGTCGGCACACAGGGACATTTGCAGGACAGTCTGGAGTGGAGCTATGGATCTGCGTGTGTTTCTGTTTTAAATGTCCCCAGATATTCTCAACACGAGTTTTTTAAGCAGTATGTATAGTTTGCGAATCTAAGAAAAAAAAGCATACTTTTGACAAAATGTACAAAAATAAATATTTGTATTTAAATGCAATGGCCTAAGTAGTTTTATTGCTATTTTTCTTCTTTTTTATCTATCTATCTATCTATCGATCTATCTACATAGTACATACAGTGGGGCAAAAAAGTATTTAGTCAGCCACCAATTGTGCAACCTCAACTATGAGAGACAAAATGAGAAAACAAATCCAGACAATCACATTGGCTGATTTGGAAAGAATTTATTTGCAAATTATGGTGGAAAATAAGTATTTGGTTAATATCAAAAGTTAATCTCAATACTTTGTTATATATCCTTTGTTGGCAATGACAGAGGTCAAACATTTCCTGTAAGTCTTTACAAGGTTGGCACACACTGTTGCTGGTATGTTGGCCCATTCTTCCATGCAGATCTCCTCTAGAGCAGTGATGTTTTGGGGCTGTTGCTGGGAAACATGGACTTTCAACTCCCTCCAAAGGTTTTCTATAGGGGTTGAGATCTGGAGACTGGCTAGGCCACTCCAGGACCTTAAAATGCTTCTTATGAAGCCACTCCTTCGTTGCCCAGGTGGTATGTTTGGGATCATTGTCATGTTGGAAAACCCAGCCATGTTTCATCTTCAATGCCCTTGCTGATGGAACGAGGTTTGCACTCAAAATCTCATGATACATGGCCCCATTCATTCTGTCCTGAACATGGATCAGTCGTCCTGGTCCCTTTGCGGAGAAAAACAGCCCAAAGCATGATGTTGCCACCCCCATGCTTCACAGTAGGTATGGCGTTCTTTGGATGCAACTCAGCATTCTCTCTCCTCCAAACACGACGAGTTGTGTTTCTACCAAACAGTTCTATATTGGTTTCATCTGACCATATGACATTCTCCCAATCCTCTTCTGGATCATCTAAATGCTCTCTAGCAAACTTCAGACGGGCCCGGACATGTACTGGCTTAAGCAGGGGGACACGTCTGGCACTGCAGGATCTGAGTCCCTGGCGGCATAGTGTGTTACTGATGGTAGCCTTTGTTACGTTGGTCCCAGCTCTCTGCAGGTCATTCACTAAGTACCCCCGTGTGGTCCTGGGATTTTTGCTCACCGTTCTTGTGATCATTTTGACCCCACGGTGAGATCTTGCGTGGAGCCCCAGATCGAGGGAGATGACAGTAGTCTTGTATGTCTTCCATTTTCTAATTATTGCTCCCACAGTTGATTTGTTCACACCAAGCTGCTTGCCTATTGCAGATTCAGTCTTCCCAGCCTGGTGCAGGTCTACAATTTTATTTCTGGTGTCTTTTGACAGCTCTTTGGTCTTCACCATAGTGGAGTTTGGAGTGTGACTGTTTGAGGTTGTAGACAGGTGTCTTTTATACTGATAACAAGTTCAAACAGGTGCCATTGATACAGGTAATGAGTGCAGGACAGAGGAGCCTCTTAAAGCAGAAGGTACAGGTCTGTGAGAGCCAGAAATCTTGCTTGTTTGTAGGTGACCAAATACTTATTTTCCACCATAATTTGCAAATAAATTCTCTACAAATCAGCCAATGTGATCGTCTGGATTTTTTTTCTAATTTTGTCTCTCATATTTGAGGTCTACCTATGATGCCAATTACAGGCCTCTCTCATCTTTTTAAGTGGGAGAACTTGCACAATTGGTGGCTGACTAAATACTTTTTTGCCCCACTGTACATCATGCCATCTGGCATAAGCCACTTCTCTTTGCCTAATTAAAATAACGTAGGCTTAGTTAGGGAGTTTATGTGTAGAATATTTCTACTTTATGGAGAGGGTCATGCTAAAGGGTATAAAGCGTGTCTATGATCATGGCTCATGAGAT